TAAGCCAGAGATGAGAAACCGAGAGCAAGCAAGACAACGAATAATGTATGTGTGAACAATAATAAAGCTAATTTATCGAAATTTACTAAAAAAAATTTTGCAGTCTTTGAGCTAACTGAAACTTGAACATACGGCACAAGCGTTTCTGGATGGCACGCAGTTTCATTGCTGTCCGGTAAGCGCTAAATTTAACTTGATTGAATGTTGACAATTCCTCCATGATTTCCACCATTGCCGGATGATCCCACTGGGTTACTTCTGTTTCGTGGCTTAAAAACCATATATATCATATATATTTTACTTTGTTACTATGATTATCAATTATAACATCGCCGCATTTCCTCTTGATCATTGTTGCAGCTGGCAACTTCTCCATTCTTTATTTTGTGTTTGAAGCATACCCAGATAATTCCATATGTGCGTTTAAGTGAATTTTCAACCTCACTGATGCTTCTCAGCTTACATAAAGAACTTAGTGTGAATCTGAGTACTGCTTGTGGATCGATGAAAATAATAGGTTAACAAAATAACTTTTTCAACACAGACTACATATGAACGCCAAGTATACAAAAAGGCCGCCCGGACAATCACTATGGGTAACTCATGTTAGTGATATTACTGGAATGAATCAACGTGCCTCAAGCGCATCAAGTCCCAGCCTTCTGGTCCTACGCGTCATATCTCCACAACATGTTTTTATGTAAAATGCATTAAAGAACGAATTTACTTGATGTAATATGGTAGGTGATTGCTGGACGAGATGGCTCGTTGCCAAGGAGCCTGAACACTGTTCATCAGGAAATGTTGACTGGACGGTCCAAAATCGGCCATCGCATGCTCCAGAGCAGCTATACGAACGCGAACATCCGATTTTAGCTTTGCCATCCTGAAGTGAACGAGATTTTTAGCACTTCAATTTTCTTGAAAAAAAACTAAAAAATTAGAAAAAAGTGTTCTTATTGAAAGCCAAGTCCACTAGCTAAATTTTACTTTTAAAAAGCGTTCATAGTTTTGTCAAATCTAATAATCAACCCAGCATTTAATATTTAACATCTGATTGCAGAATCCACGACCCCTTTAGAAAAAGAGCGCGAGAAAATACAGTATTGTGGGACAACAGCCAACCGGAGAATCACAGTAAATTATCGAATTTTTAACTGAGAAAACTCTCCGAAACATATGGAGCAAAAAATCAAGGAAATTATTTCTGAAAAAGAGCAGACGCTTGAACTTCGCTTTGTCTTAAAATAACGCAGTGTAGAGCGTAAAAAAAAAGAAACAAAGATTGGAAGA